TAAAATTCATAATTCCTAACTCCATAGGGAAATACAGCTTAGCCCAATTGTCACACGATTTGGGGATATTCGGTCTAGAAAGATAAATGTCTTATCTTTCGAACCATATATAGCATGTAACTTGAAAAATTATGGAAGGCTTCTGTTTCTTCACATTTACGTAACATGTATGAAACTGTCCTGTCTGCACGTAGGCTAACTTTACTTGTAATACTGTACCAATTGGCTGTTGGAAATTTAAAAGGTTTTAAAAATTTAACTGTTTTATTTATTTAATTATTTAGACTGTTTTATTTTATTTATTGTGGGGGTTATAAATATTTAATATTCAGGTTTTATTTCTGGTTGGTGAATGCCTTAATTTTTTGGTTGGTGAACTTTAATGGTTGGTGAAGGTTACATGTTTTTGGATGCCTATAAAAGGCCACTCCTCCTTCACATTTGGTATACACATACTACACCATTAGAATATCACATACCACATTCTAATTCTTCCCTTTTCTACTTTTATATATATTATCTATTTTATATTATTATTTTGGACAATGGTTATATGACTTGGATACCTATATCTGTCTATGAATGTGCTCATAGCGGATCTTGAGTTTGTGTACAAGGGGTTGTATCTTGGAGTCTTGTAGACCGTCAGTACCTGCACGTGGGGAGGCCACAAAGGCTTTAGGACAGCGTCTTTGACGTGCTTCACCGTACCAAACTCACCTTCTTACTTATTATTTATTTTTCTTTTACTTACCTATTATTTTCTTTTCTTCAATTTCATTATACCTTCAAAGCTTTCCAATTTTTTATATAAGTTATTTATAATATAAAGGTTTTTGTATTTGGTTTTATGGAAAGAGGAAAACTATATTTTTTACAACATTGGCTTAGTAGAAAATTCTACAAAATCACAGATCGAACTTCAAGATCTTAGCTTTCATCTCCAATTGGCCTTGTGCTAAAATTCCTCCGAAAAGTTGATTTTCCCTTAAAAACCTTTTAAGAGCGCAAAAAAGCTGAAAATCAGAAAAGTAAATTAATAAGCCACTTTTAAATCTAATTCTCCTACAAAACCTAAGTAAAAAGATTACATAAATGAGTATATTTATGGACTTATCAGTGCTGTATGTCGACGATATACTTTTGGCTACAAATGACCATAACTTACTGAAAGACACTAAGGAGCTACTTTCAAACAATTTTGAGATGAAGGATTTGGAAGAAGCCGCTTTTGAAAGACACTAGGGGCCTCTTATGCTTGTCACAGAAAACATACATTGAAAGGACACTCAAGCGTTTTGACATGCGTATGTGTTATGGACAAAAAGTTCTGTTAGCTAAAGGAGATTTAAAGAATGAGCATTGCCCCAAGAATAAAGAAGAAGAAGATGAGATGAGGAACAAGCCGTACGCTTCTCTAGTTGGAAGCATTATGTATGCACAAGTGTGTACAAGGTCAGACCTAGCCTTGTGCATTAGCAAGATAAGGAGATTTCGGTCAAATTCGGGAATGCAACATTGGATAGATGGAAAGAAGATTTGGAGGTACTTACAGAGAACAAAGGCTTATATATTGCTTTACAGATACACGGAGAATTTAGAGCTTGTTGGTTATGCTGATGCGAATCTTGGAAAAGCAGAGCATGGTTACATCCTCTCTGTATTTTCTTTTGAAGACCCAACGTGATTCCATCCCAAAATCATTGAATCTGAACTTAAAAATTTCTATGTTTTTCCAAGAGAAAACCGTTTGTTTGATTGCTTTAACGGCCAAATTAGTCTTCGACTCAGGTGTGAAACTTACTCCTCTTGATATGCTTGATCTTTCGGCATAGGTCTTGACTGGTGGTTCGGAGATTTTCCGATTGCCGGAATTTACTCTGTACACCCAAGTGTTGTCAGCGCGTGGGCCACTTTGTGGCAGGTCATTGGGTCCTAAAATTATCCCCATGTTGTCCCAAGCACGACGGTATGCTTGGACTGGAATTTGGTTATCGTTTGAATATCAATCAGATATCGCATATTAGGCGTTATCCGAGTTTGTTATGTTCGGACAGTTGGATCGACTTCATTTCAATATATGTGGATCTAGGCATCTGCAAGATAATTTTAAAATTTGCGTATCGTGATTCGGAGTCCCGGATACTCTGATTCAATGATTTAAAGTTTGTGTTAAACGATAACTGTCCGATCGTGCGATCACAAGCGATCCGACAGTTCGAATCGAACCAAACTTGCAGGACATGTTTAGTTAACCTTGTTGAACCTGTAGGAACTCTCGAATCGAAAATTAGAGGTCGTGGGCCCCGTTGACCAGATTTGGGATGTTCGACCACTCGGCTGACTGAGAGTCTTCCGAGGTAGTTTCATACTTTGAGAAGTATTAGAATGATCTTATAAACGAGGCTTGACAATTTGTGAAGTATTTTGATTATGTTTGGGTTATGAGGTAATGTTATAGTATTTTATGGTATTATTTGGATATTTGAAGGTTATGCATTTTTGGAAGTTATGGGATTGCTAGGGATTATTATTTAACATTATCTATTATTATTATTGTGATTATTATTAAAGTATATGACTGAGTGATATCTGGTTATCTATGGAAGTCTATTGTTGTAATAGTGGAATAGAGTATTTTATGGAAATTATATATAAACAAGTGTTGATTATTATTTGAATTATTTTGGGGTTTTGACGGGTTTACAAGATTATGGATGAGATTATTGAACTTTAATTTGATATTGAGGTTTGTGAATATTTTTGTATCTTTATGAGCTTTATGCTTGATAAGGGATTTTGGCTACCCATGTAAGAACTGATTTTGGGAAGTTGAGAAACGATTTGGAAAATGGGTTTGTGAAAGCGGATTTGTGGAATAAGAGAAATTTTATGATAAGTGTCGGAATATGGTTTTCAAACCCACCACAGGAGTACCACCCCAGTTGCCTTTCAAACCCACAACAGGAGTACCCCCTAATTTGCCTTTCAAACAGTTTTCTTATTTATGACAATGCCTCACGAGTTTCGGAGATGCCTGAACCATGTGGTGCGAGGATATGCGTCCTCTGGCTAACTACATGTCCCCCAAGTTCAGCGAGGATGTGCAGCTCAGGTTGACTAGGTGTCTCCTGAGTCTTGCGAGGAATGCGGCTCAGGCTGACTGTATGTCCCCTGAGTCTTGCGAGGAATGTGGCTCGGGTTGACTTTGTGTTTTCAAAGCCTGCGAGGATGTGTCGCTTATGTGACACTTGGAATTGACGGAATATTATGGGAATTGACATAATACTATTGGAATTGACGGAATATTGGTAGAATTGACAGATCATGAATGGGGGTACGCCTAGGTGGAGAGTATTTGAGTTTTGAAATGTTTTAAACTAAAAATTATGACTTTATTTTGGTACTTATTGGCGAATGCTATAAATCTATTTTTTCCAACTTATGAGACAAGGATTGAGAGTTTTCTAAGTTTTAATAATTTTATATAATTCATAATTATTTTCTTAAGTGATGAATTTGTTTTTACATGTGAAAGAGGGAAATATATTTTTATTTAAATTGTTGATAAATGACATTAAGGTTTCACGTGGTCAATGCTATCTAACAATTTTCTTGTTTTCCTACTTATAAGTAATAAGTTAATTATATATATATATTTATGCACATGTGGGATGAGTAAAAGATTGTTCTAACCTCAATAGCTCTTGATTGAGTTTCAGTGGATTGATCTGAATTATTTATGAAGGTTTCTCGATTTTATTTTATTAAGTTATCTTTGTTTGGGCATAACCCCGAATAAAGTACAAACTTTGGAGGGTACCAACTACTGTCACTAGCTGCCGGATGTACAAGTTTTCCCTCTAATTTATTACGTGGCCAAATTTTTCCTTTCTTGGAGGAAAAGCTCCGCATGTAGTGCATTATAAGTTTTACTTTACATGCTCCATATGGTGCCCTTCTTTTTTCCATTTTGTTAAAAAGCAGAACTTAATCATGACCACATATAGTACATTTAAATTCAGCTATCTACAATATGGGGGAAGGGGAGGGGCTCAATTACCATCATTGGGGTTCGAGCAGGTACCATGGGAGAGTAAACCTTATTGGCGATACGCTTTTGTTCTTTGTTTAAGTTCCTTCTAAACATTCTTTATTATGATCATTTTACATTTTCTTATAATGCATACCATATATATCAAAATAACTCTTCCGTTTTCTTTTTTATCCAAACTCTTAGGGTAACTCTTTTGTTTTCTTTAATGAACAACACGATATTATTGATCGCATAAAAGCGATAATTTTTATTGATAAACAAACAAAAATATAAGACAAACTAGTGTTTCGGTTTGACTTGTAAGGGCAATTTTTTTCTGGGACAATATAAAAACCGCGTGGGCACGGAAAAAAGGTTCTACTGAGGGTCGGCAAACGGGCGGCGGGCGCATCCATCGCTTCTAGCCCGAATTCTGACTTAGAGGCGTTCAGTCATAATCCAGCTCATGGTAGCTTCGCGCCACTGGCTTTTCAACCGAGCGCGATGACCAATTGTGTGAATCAATGGTTCCTCTCGTACTAGGTTGAATTACTATTGTGACACTGTCATCAGTAAAGTAAAACTAACCTGTCTCACGACGGTCTAAACCCAGCTCACCTTCCCTATTGGTGGGTGAACAATCCAACACTTGGTGAATTCTGCTTCACAATGATAGGGAGAGCCGACATCGAAGGATCAAAAGGCAACGTTGCTATGAACGCTTGGCTGCCACAAGCTAGTTATCCCTGTTGTAACTTTTCTGACACCTCTAGCACAACCCAAATAAGAGAAACTATATAACTTAAAGGAGCCTCAGTCTTTCCAGTGGACGACCCGTGATCTAGACGACCCGGATTAGTCTACACTTGTGGCGGATCCAGGATTCAAAAGTCAGGTAGGCGAAACTTACCTTAAAAACTCGACGGTACGAGTGAATTTTATTGATAAAAATAAAAAGATACACCTAGTCAGGGGGGACGTAATAAGCCTTACCCTCAAATATGCATATCTATACATAAATAAAAGCTTAACAAAAAAAACAAGAAGTAAATGCAATGCAACACAAAAAGTAAACTATTTTAATCTAAAATTGTACCCTACGAGGCTTAGAAATCTTAAATTCTTCAATTATCTCTTCATTATCGATACTATTAGCAAACTCTCTTTCAATGTGGAGAATCATGCAATCAGCAAGGAATTCATCAGCTATGGTGCTTCGAAGTCTATTCTTAATAATTCTCATACAT